ATGGAAGTTCAGAAAAGAAGAAAACTATGTGCTCCAACTGTTTCAGATTTCAGAACTAGAATTAACTTCCCCTACATTTTGATACAAAGCCATAAAAGTAATAATTAAAAAAAAATTCTACCATAGCAGGGACCCAGCATGGCCAGAAATGGTGCAGTGACCCTCAGCACCTGCAGTGGGACAGTGGTGATGTCGCTGCAGGCTTTTCCCACCAGAATGTTTAAACTCCATCAGACTCTGAGGAGCAGCTGGCAGATCTGGGTTGTGGGGATTCCTGAAGAGGAGGGTGCTGGACTCTGGGAAATGTTGAGCTTGTAACCAAAGCTGGCAGCCATCCCTGCTGAGGAGGTTAAAGAGGGTAGGTGAGAGCTTGATTGGATCCCAGATTTTAAAACAGCACGGTGCCGGGCGTGGTGGCACACACCCGTGATCCCAGCGCTCTCAGCACTCCGGAGGCTGAGGCAAGAGGACCTCGAGCTGGAGGCCAGCTGGGCTACATGGCAGGTTCAAGGCCAGCCTGGACTACATAGTGGTATGTTGTCTCACCCCCCCCCCACTCTCCAGAAAAGCCAGTGAAGACCAAAGAAGGAAGAAGGAGGAGGAATTGGGGGAATTTGGGCTCAGCAATACTCCTGGGTCAGTGTTAAATTTTTTAGAGTATCCTGTGTGGTGGTGCACCTATAATTTCAGCACTCAAAGGGCTAACGCAGGAGAATCTCCATGAATTCAAGGTCATCTTGGGCTACATATGTACTGCGTTTAAGGCTGACCTACAATATAAAGCGAGATTCTGTCTTAAATAAGTTTGTTCCCTGGGGTGTTAATGGCCTTTTGGTTATGTGAGTGGCCTTGGGAGATGGGAGGAGGCTATCAGTGAGGTGTCATGTCTGTAACTTGCTTTCAAGAGGGTCAAGAAAAAAGGGGGGGCTTTAGCTCAGCAGAAAAGCCTGTGCTTAGCATGCACAAGACCTTGGGTTTGACCCCAGCCCCTCAGAGAAAGAAGGAAAGGAAAGGCACCCTCTCATTTAGACCACAGTGCAGGAGGTATAGGACAAACACAGCAGCACACTGACGGGGGCAACTCCAAGGCACAGTGTCTGGATGTCCCCATACTATTTCTTTAGCCTTTCATGGCTTTGGAATTTTTCAAAATAAAAAGGTGGGGAGAAAGAAAAGCAACTTTGCGACCTGGGGATTTAGCTCAGTGGTTCCGCCGCCTGCCTCGCAAGCGCAAGGTCCTGAGTTTGATTCCCAGTACCAAAACAAAGAAACCCAAAGAAAGAAAAGCAACTTTGCTCCATGTGGAATTTTGGCCCAAACCTTTGCCCTTAGCTGCCTCTCCTGAGCGATTGTCCTGGATTTCTGGTTTCTGCCCCCGGTGGCAGCATACACAGTTCTGTCTCCCTGTCTCTTAGGAGCTTCTTTTTTGGACTAGGGAAGATTTCATGACAAAGTATTCCTGGCAGACTTAAATGACTTTTCTAGAAGCAGGTAAGAACCAGTGTGCTCTCACCTGTGGGTTTGGTGCCAGGGGTTTTTGGGGGGGGTTCAGGGTACTGGGGATCAAACTCGGGACCTTGCGCTTGCAAGGGAGGCACCGGAACCACTGGACTAAATCCCCGGCCCAGTGCCAGGGTTTTTTCAAAAAAATTTTTATTAGTCTATGTTTGCAGTGCAGAATGAGTTTTCCCATCGTGGGGAGCTGGTGCATGTACAGAGCACATCTTAATTCATTTTACATCCTCTTTCCTTGTATCTCTATCCCTTCTCATTTGCGAAAGAGCTTTCTCCTTCTTTCCTGTTACTATCTTGTATTTTTCTCTGAATTAAAGAGCCAGTGTTTATTTTTAACATTGCATTATGTGCTCTAAGTAAATATGCAAGGAAGTTTAATGCTGTAGGATTGAAAGAAAATCTGTCTTCAGAAATACCACACACTAATGCACAGTGTGATCTGCCTCTCCCAGCCGACCTGGTGTAAGCTTTTCCCTCTCATCGGGAGGTTGTTCGAGAGAGCAGGTTCTGCTAGCTCTCAGTGAAGATGTCTGGCCTGCCTGCGTTTTGTGAGATGTGACAGCCTGGTGAGTCACTGGGCTACACCAGGAGTCTTTTTGCCCTCGAGCCCTTCACAGGTCATTTCAGCTCTTGTCTGTGGTTTGGTGGCTTCGGGAATGAGGGATGTTGTTACATGCAGTGCTGGGGTTTCTTTTTTTTTTTTGGTACCGGGGATCAAACTCGGGACCTTGAGCTTACGAAGCAGGCGGTGGAACCACTGAGCTAAATCCCTGGCCCAGTGCTTGGGTTTCTGGCCCTGAGCTGGATTACCAGCCTGTGCCCCGCCCTGCCCCACCCGGGTGTTTGCACCTGCGCTCACTGGCACCATTGGCAGCCGGGAGTGTTTCTGGGAACCCTCACACCAGCCCCTGTGGCCTCCAGTCCCATGTCCCGTGCTGGCCTGGCCTTGAGCAAACCTCCAGGGGGCTGTGGCTGGTTCTTGTGCCAGGACAGTGTTTTCCCAGCTCCTGGGACACCTGGAGCCTCCACTGCTCAGGGCCACCCTGACCGTGAGGCCTGGTGACCATCAGGAGTCTCCCGCCACTATCTCCCCGGGCAGTTAATGGGATAAACACATGGGATTGGGATGTTCTGAAGGTGGCTTTGTTTAAAACAGTTTGTGTTTTGATGATCTGCTTGTTAAAGCATGAGGGAGGCAGGAAACTGAGGCCTCAGAGCCCGGTGGGGGAGGCTTCCACGTGCAGTGGATTCTGTTCTGTTCCTGGTAGCCTTGGGGGGAGAAGAGGGAAGGTTGGGCCCACACAGCAGTGCGTGGGTAGCCCCTGCTTGGTGTCCTGAATCCCACAGTCAGCAGCTATGCTTGTCACACACAGATACCTGTGTGTTCATGCAAATTAGACATGCCTGTCTGCTGAGAGCCTTCTGGAAGCCGGTGGCCTCCCTCAGGTTGATGACAAGGACTTGCACCTGGCAGCCACCCCGAACTCCCCGTGGGCTGGAAGGTGGTCACCCGGAGCCAGGCAGTGACAGAGTTAGCTGGTAGGCCAAGCCTGCCGCTTCTAGGGGTTCAACTGGGGGACTGAGCCCTCCACCTGCAGGCCACCCAATTTATTTGTTTATTTATTTATTGGGGATTGTTTTGTGTTTTTGAGACAAGGTCTCTCTATGTAGTTCAGGCTGGCCTTGAACTCACTGTGTATCCCTGCTGGCTTCGAACACATGGTGATCCTCCTGCCTCAGCCTCCCAAGTTTTGGGTTCACAGGTGTGCGTCATCACCCCTGGCTATTTGTTTTGAGATGAGATCTTGTTATGTAGTTCAGGCAGACCTTGAGCTCTCAGTGATCCTCCTGCCTCAGCCTATAGAGTGCTGGGATCACAGGCCTGCACCACCATGCCTGGTTGTTTTGAGACAAGGTCTTGCTGTGTAGTTCAGGCTGGCCTTGAACTTGTTGTGAAACTTGCAGTGAGCCTCCTGAGTGCTAGAATCACAGGTGTGCACCACCACACCCAGCTCCACCCAATGGAAGCTGTAGGCTGTCTGGGCCCTGGTATTCAGAGGGGGTGCAGAGAACTGGGGTCAGACACATGTTTACTTGTGCCAATTGGGCTGGGGATTTAGCTCAGTGGTTCCAGCGCCTGCCTCAAGCACAAGGTCCCAAGTTTGATCCCTGGCACCAAAAAAAACCAAACAAACTTGTGGCAATTATAGGAGGGAAATTAATGGGAGAGAAGCAGTGTGCAGACAGCGGACAGCGGGGCGGAGGGAGAAGGTGGGAGCAGTGGTGGTTATTGGGGTGGCCTGTCCTAGGTGGTCTAGAATGATCCTAGGGTTGGGGGGACCCATTCCCCGCCTGCCCTGGAGCCTGGACCTCAGTCCCTCATGTCTAGAGCTCAAAGGGGCAGGGTTGTGTGCAGCTCTAGGAGAAACTGCAAGCACAGGTTGGGTTTTTCCCTTTTTCTTTAAAACTTTAAAATTTCCCAGTGGGCTCTGTGGAGCACGCCTGTAATGGCAGCACTTGGAAGACAGAGTGAGGCCAGCATGGACTACATAGCAAGACCCCATCTCAAATAAATAAATAATT